ATCTATCTATCTATCTATCTATCTATCTATCTATCTATCTATCTATCTCTGTCTATCCATCCATCTATCTCTCTATCTAACTGTCTGTCTATCCATCCATCTACCTGTCTGCCTATCTATCTATCTATTGATATAGAGATATCTTTTGAGCCCACACACAATTATCCCCCAGCATTTCATGAAATGCATGGAGATTTCATTATATATGTATATGTATATTCACATACATGTACATACATCCATGCCCCAAAGTAGACTGTATCTGTCTACGTCTCTAGCTATTTCTTTATCTATAATCACATCTACATCTATATTTTACTTTGAGGCGTACATATATCACTTTATCCAGACAAAGGTAAACTCCTTGAAGGCTGGATAATCACATTTTTTGTCTTTATATGCCCAGAGCCTAATTCCTGCCAGGTTCCTGGAATGACCAATAAATAATTGTTGGATTAAATTAAATATATAGTCAGATTAACACCTCTGTGAAGGGAGATAAAGATTTAGATAGTTGTACAACTGGATAAGTGCTATGGGCAAACTTGAAATTTGAGTTTTTAGGAAATTGGACTAGATCACGGGTTCTTAGCTTTTGGTCTATGAACTTGATTTTAAAATATATTTATAATTATATTTTAATATAATTCATTTCCTTTGTAATCTTTCATATTTTAGTTTATGCATTTTAAGATGTTTGGAGGAATCCACGGGCTTCCCTAGATTGCCAAAAGGGTCACAAAAACTGTTTGAGCCCTTGGACTAGATGATTGAGCACTGTGATCAGTTTCTCAAAAAGTACTCAATTTCTTTCTTTCTTTCATTCTTTTTTTTTATTCAAGTCTTCTTGTGCAAAATGACTAATATGAAAATGTTTTACATGATTGCACACATATAACCTATATCAGATTGCTTACTGTCTCAGGGAGGTGGGGGTTTGGTAGGGAGGTAGGGATAGAATTTGGAATTCTAAACTTAAAAAAAATGTTAAAAATTGTTTTGATGTGTAATGGAGAGAAAAATAAAATATTATAATGAAAGAAAAGTGAAGCATGTCTCATGAGGCAGCCCAAGGCAAGCTGTTTTTTGTTCCTTTTCTTGCCTCAACTTCCCCTGGCTCTTTGTTCTTATAGGAACATAGATTTAAAGTCGAAGCATACTCAGAAGCACTCTAGTCCAGTCCCCTCATTTTACAGAGGAGAACATTTAGGCTCACAGAAATTAAATAATTTGCCTGGTGTCATACAAGTAATGAGTGAACCCAGATCTTCTGACTCCAGATCCAGCATTTTTCCTCTAACCATGTTAAGTCTTGTTGATTTGGAGTTAACAGAAGAGATTGGGGGGAGGTGGGAAGAAGGATGAGGCTTACGAACACTAAGGATGGTAATTATAGTAGGTGACAGCAAGGGTGCCTTCAGAGAGCCCTACCTCATTACATTTCCTCCAGGACTAAAATCAAGGCAGAGGGCAGGCAAATGACCCAGCCCTCACTCCAGGCTTGAGTGGATCTCCCCTTCCACTCCACATTACAAACCCCCATACATAGTTCTTTTTATTAAAAAAGGAGAGGCAACATGGCCTAATGGATACAGAGGTGGCCTCGTGTGTAAGAAGACTTGGGTTGAAGTCCTGCCTTTGACATAAACAGGTTGTGTGACTCTGCGAAACTTCCTTAGCTTCGTAGCGTTCTGGGTAAGTCTAAGCCTGTAAGTGGCAGAAAAAGTGATGACTTGGATTGGCAAGGAAGAGGGCCAAAGACATCTTTCCTCACCTCTTTGGATGTCGGTACAAAAGGAATGTGAAGGAGAGAAGAAAGGCAAGCCTTCAGGCACAGTAAGGAGGGGAAATCAGCCCACGTACCTGTGGGCAGTCGGGTGAGAACAGAGATTAGGTCTTCCAGAGAGAACCACCAGGTGGCACCTCTGAGGAGCCTATGAGGGCAGGTACCAATGCTGTCTAGGCATGTACTGGTGTATAACAAGACAGATAAAGGGAACGAAGGCGCCGAGTTTCCTAGCCCACAGCTCTCGCTCTTTCATCAGACTATCCATAACCCGTGGGGATTTGCGTCCCAGCTCCCCTCCCCCCAGCACCCTCCAAATTGTGACTGTTCACGTCATGGTATTGCTCCTGCTAGATCAAGGGGCCCTAGCGCGTGCATATTTGCGTGAATGTTAAACGGGGTTTGCTTTGAAAGGCAAGCGGTTGCACAGAGGCCAGATGTGGAGGGGTCCCGGGACAATAGAGTCTGAGGGCTGGATGTGCCCGGGGCTCCCCCTGGGCTTGGCAGACTCACCCAGCCTGCGGCCTGGGTGCTTAAGGCCATAGTCTCCTGCTTTTCTCTCTGATTTCTCTAGCTCGCCAGCAGTGGCCTGCGAGGCGGCTGCACCAGGTCACCTCTGACCCTCTTCTTTGCAGCTCTGCTTTTCTCTTGCTAGACGAGGTGACCAGTCAGTCCTTCCCAAGGGAAGTGGAGACCAAGAGCAGCCTACCTCAGCAGGGCGGAAGGGGGCCAAGGACGTTTTCCCTCTCCTCTTTGGCCTGAGGGGGTCAGGGCACGCAAACTGCTCCATAGGATTGCGAAGAGAGCTGAGCCAGTGCCCTGGTTGCTGCTGCTAATCTGCTGGTGGCATTGGGAGGAGATGGCTTGGAGGAAGGATAGGAGGAGGAGGAAGAGATGGAGGGGGTGGAGGAGGAAGAAGAGGAGGGGGAAGAAAGTAGCATTTATGCCAGGGGGTGTGTGAGCAGCAGCGGGCGCTTGTGACAACTTCTCTGGCGGCAGCAGCGCGTGTGGCAGGGCTGGCAGCGAGGACAGAGGGAGGGAGGGAGAGAAGAGGAAAGGGAAGAGGGTGGGTGACGGTGGAAGGGGATGTGTGCGTGCGTCTCTTTCTGAGCTGCTGCCTGTGCCCAGTGTGCTGCCTCCACCACCGCGGCTGCCCCTGCTTCTCTCTGCTCTGCTCATTTCCTCTTGGTTTTTCAGCCAGAGGTGCTGGAGACTCCAATCTATAAATAGCAGGTTACAGCTCCTTCTACACGCACACGCGCGCGCATATATCTACACGCACACACGCACGCACACACAAACACACATACACTCCGAAGGAGGAAAGTCAAGCTTAAAGTCTGTGGTGCCACTGCCTGCCTACACCTCCGGCCGCCGCTGCAAGCCCCCAGCCCCATCTCCCTCCGGAGAGGTAATTTTTGCCTCTTATTTCCAAGGACTCTCTGAGAATGTTGGCGGGTCTGGATGGGGAGTGGGGGAGGTGGGAGAGTGCTACTGCCCTGGAATGGGTTTGGGGAAGCACCGGTGAGTGTCCTGGGCTGGGGTAGGGGCACAATGGACAGACTCTCTATGGCGCTGCAAGTTTCTCAGTTGGGCTACCCTGTTTACCACCCTCCCCCGAACCATTCCGGCACCCCAATCCATTCTCCTAACTGATAGGCTATCTGGTCTCTTACTTGGTCCTTTCTCCTCTCTTTGCTATCCGTTCAACTCCTTGCCTCAACTCTCCCCTTCCCCCGACTATGCACACACTCTCAGGTGCCTTCAGGTGTACCTACGGCTGACCTTCCTGGGCACTGCCCACTTGCAAGGCTCGTGGCCCTGCTGGCTATCTGGCACTCCCTGGTGCTACTAAGTGCCATCTCTGTCCTAGACTCAGAGCTGCTGCATCTCAAACGGAGAGAGCTTGCTGTTGGGGGCTCTCAACTGCCAACCACAGCATCTATCCCTTCCTTGCTTCCCTTGTGTATCACCACAACTCCATTATATGCGATTGTTTCCTCTCCCTCACCTCCTCACCTCCCAGCCCTCCGCCCCTTAACTGCAATCCCGAACTCAATAGAGATCCCAATGCACGGTTAACAGCAGGTGGTCTTAGCCTAGGGAGCTGTACAGGAGACCATCCTTTCTTTGCTTCCCTTTCCCCTGCGCAGACCTGGCTCCCCAGCTCCTCTCACCCAAACTTAGAGGGAGGACAAGTACAGACTCGAGGGACTGATGCCTGTGTGGAACGACAGACAACAGGGCTGGTGACTACCGTGATGTGGAGTGGTTGCTGGAGTCCAGCTCTAGATACCTGGTTTGCCCCTCCTCCCTCCCCACCCGTCCAAAATCTCCTCCCACTGTAGTGGCTCCTGCCATCGCTGCCCCAGAGGAGATGCAGGAGACAGACCCAGGAGCTGCTGCTGGCTGGGGAGAAGACGTTCATTACTAAGGGTGAGGATGCACATATTTATTAGGCTGTTGCTGCTGTTGTCCAAAACTTACCGGGAAAACCTGGTGGATTTTTCTGATGCTGTTATTTTAATAATGCAGACTTGCTTCTTCTCCCCTTTTCTCTTCTCCTCCGCCCTCTACCCCTCTTGTCTCTTTTGAGGATTAGATGTATAATCAGGCATTTGTATATCTCCTGACTTGGGGGGGGGGGGCTGCGTTCTGTGTATATTTTTCCATTTCCTTCAACATCCCCTCCCCCCAGCGGCAGAAATTGGTCATATAAACGTGTAGGGCTACCAAATGCCTCCCCCTCAAAACAAACAAACAAAAAAACAAAAGCCCCAAATAACAAAGGCAAAAAGCAAAATCTAATGGAAAGAGTTGTGATTATTATTATTAGTAGTAGTAGTAGTATTGCTATTATTGTCATTGGTTTAAGGCAGTGACTAGATAACCTTTTGGTAGGTGTGCTTCACAGATCAAAAGTTGGGCACCCAACAGAAGGCACCAGGAGTCTTCTTTCTAGTGGGTCTTGGACCAGACATTAGAGGAAGCTGACTTACTGCAGACTACTGGGCTGTTAAATCATTCACGGAGGAAGAAAAAAACACAGGCAAGGAAGTGCAGTTTATGTTGAGTAAGAAGTCCAATGAGATGAAGGTTGCAAGCAAGACAGGGATTGTCAGTTTACCCAGTGTAAAGAGTAAGGCATTATCTTGGTTATGTCAGTTTCAGAGAGCAGCCCAAACTGAGCACTGGTAATTCAGAATAAAAGATCAATCTCCTTATGATGAGTAGATTACAGCAAATGTAAATTTGGGAGATTTGTTCTAATGTTAAATTGCTCTTCCTATGGAAATGTCTTTCTACTTAATTCTTTAAAATGTGACATAAGAAGATTGCCCTTGAAAGGTTATAAAATGTGCATGGAATACATGCTGAAGCTTCCTCTCAATGGAAAAGATGTGTTTGCTGGTTAAAATATATCCTCCTGTTCCTTTAAAAAGAACGTTCTGTTGATAATTAGGAAGTTAATACTTACTGATGATCGGATGATGACAAGTAATCCACATTTTGATGATGAGATGGTATGTGATAGAGGCATAAAAAATGACCAGACAGACATTAAGATCTCTAACCTGACCATTTCATCTGTTGAAGTACAGAGCCAAAGCTACAGGCAGAAAATCTATTTCAGAATTTTGGGTTCAGAAACCCAGGGCTCAAAATCATCCATATTGAGATAAGACTTTACACCCAATTTCTGGGCCCAAACTGATGGAATGACTTCAATTTTCAGATCATTTTGGACATCATGCTGAAAGGGCAGTAGCTTATAGCATAGACTAATTTATCAGTGAAATTTCGTGGGTAAGTAGTATCATTCCATTTCAGGTATGTGAAAAGGAAAACCATTAACTTTAGGGAAAGGACTGACTTCAACAGATACTCATTCTAAATTTTGTGACTTGAAGATAATTCATACCCTGCATGAGACCTTGGAGTGTATCCCAGTACAAGTAATGTAAATCTCCATGTGGGGAGCAGAATTAACTTTCACTACCTTGAGGCAAAACCCAAGGGGGTGATTCTCAGAAAGGCAGAGAAAGAAAAAAAAAACCCTGCAAACTGAATTCCTATCCCTTAGCAACCACATGCATAGCAGTTTCCAGGTAAGTATCTAACATCTGAGAATCCAAAGTTTTATTTTTTTTAAATGAAATCATTATAATTAGAGAGTGAAATGCTTACTGAATACCCATCTACACTTTGCCTGATTCACAGACACTAATCCCTAGCCAGTGACTACATTGAAAAAACACAGGTAACAGACTTGTGCCAATAATACATTCTTGCTCTTCACAGATATGGGAATTTTAATAGGTAGGAAGACATACTGTAAAATCATCACACATTAAAATGTTAATGTGTAATTTAGGATCTTGCTGTCTTTTTCTAAATTTCCTACCTTGGTTTACAACCAATTTTATTTTTACATGCAAATCTTATTTTCAAGCCCTTAGGGCATCTACAGGTTATTTGGCTAAATTAAAAAAAAAAAGGTTGGCTGAGAAATTCTTTTATTGTATATTGTAAAGGAATTTTAGGATACATTCATTGTCATACCGGAATTATGTGCCTAAGATTAAGTTAAGAGGGAATTGATGGAATAAATCAATTTCAGAAACTTTATTTTTATATGAACCTTATTATACTATAATTACATTTTGGTCCCTGGAGATTTATTAGTTATATTTATTTCCTTTAATGCTTACTCAGTATTTCTTTGAAATAAGTCCATTTTAAAGAATTTTCAAACATGTCTGATGTATTTGGCACCTTTTAGGTGAGAGGCAATATGATATAGGAGATAGAGAGCTGAACTAATCTGGAAGACCTGAATTCAGGTTCTCCATCTGATACATATTATCTATTGTGACCCTAGGAAACTCTGTTAGATTCTTTGTTGTAGATGGAGTGCTAAGGGAGTTTCCATTCTGGGAGCTCCTGAGTGTATGTAATTACAAGTCTAGAACCAAAAGAAAAGAAAGTTTTATGATACATTCTCAACATTCTTATTGTCTCCATATGGCAGGATCCTTTCATTTATTGAAAAGATACTAATTGGACATATTTATTTCATATTAGATATTTTTCCACAGCATTATTTTGTTATGGCTTGTAAACTCTGTAAGTGGACAAAAGAATTGTGAAATCTTTGCTGACATTAAGGAGTGTAGTAATCCTGAATCTTATTTTTGCCCTTGTAAGCAGAGGTAGTGTACAAAATTGTGTTTTCTTGGGTCATACTTTCAAACATAAAGTACTTTGCATACAGTAGGCACTTAATCATCATTTGTCCGATGAATGAATGAATGAATGGAAACAGGGTGGCTAATCCATCAATATTTAAAGTAATGACTATTACTTAAGAAATTTAGCTTAGGATCCGGAACATGAGGCAGCTGGGGGCATAGTAGATGACAATGCTGAACCTGGAGTCAGAAATCAGGATGTTCAAAGTATTTTGAAATATGTATGAGCTGTGTGGAAAAGTCACTTACATTCTTTCATCTTCTGTTTCTCTGTAACATCTGTAAAATGGGAATAATAACATTTATCTCAGAGGATTGCTGTGAGGACCAAATGAGAGAGCATGTGTATGGTAAAGGATGAGTGATTTGCCAGTGATCCAGTTGATATGGTCAATGTACTGGATAACTTGTAGTTGAATCTCCACTTTACTTTGGGCTATGTGGACATAACCAATGATGAAAGAATCCCATAGGGCTCATCTAAAAGATTTACCTAAATCCCAACCCTTCTTAATTCTAGTGCCTTTATTCTGTTAATTTTTTCTTATTTTTCCTATATATAGCTTGCTTTGTATATATTGTTTTGTATATATTGGTCAAGATTGTAAGCTCCTTGAGGTCAGAGACTGCCCTTTGCCTCCTTTTCTTATCTCCAGTGCTTAATAGTGAGCACATAGTAGGTGCTTAATAAATGTTTATTGATTGGCTGAAAGCTGCAGTCCCGATTTTTTTAAACTTCCATTTTACTTGAAAGAATTGTGGTAATCTTCCAAACTTGCCTTCTAGCCGTTTTTATAGTCGATAAGCACCCAGGTTATTGTGAGTGGATTGGAGGGACAGCAATGCTAGTTCATGGTGAACAGTAGAACTCATTGATCCAAGGATTAACATAACATCTCTCATTTTTTACCTGGGGAAAGGAGCCCTGTGGAGATGAAATATAGAAACTTTTCAGCAACTGGAGTGGAGAAAAGGTTGCTAGAGGGCAAATGGTATCACCTTTCTTATGGGCCCTGTCTCTGTCTCTCTCATTCTCTCTGAAACCCCTCAGCTGAAACCCCTGCAATATGTTTGGAAGACCTGTTACTTGTGAGATAGTGCTGGCTTCTTAATCTGCTTTGAAGATTTGCTTTAAAAGATGATGGTACACACTATTTTTATGTTGCATTTGGTTGCACAAGGAATTATTGTGAATTGTCTATGCTACACATGCCCAGATGCTACTTATAACAGAATAATGGCAGGAAGGGAGGGGGCTATCCTTCATAAGATGAGAGAGAGAGAAAGAGAGAGAGAGAGAGAGACAGAGAGACAGAGACAGAGAGAGACAGAGGGAGAGAGACAGAGGCAGACAGAGAGACAGAAACAGACAGAGAGATAGACACACACAGAGAAAGAGACAGAGACAGACAGAGACAGAGATGCAGAGACAGAGACACAGACATAGAGGCAGAGACAGAGACAAGTAAGAGAATCAGACAGACAGATGGAGACAGAGACAGAGACAGAGACAGAGACCATCAGAAAGGTGGTACCATTTGTCTTGCCCCTATAGTAACCTTTGCTCTATTCCAGTTGCTGAAAAGTTTCCATATTTCATCTTCATAGGGCTCGGCTTTCCCAGGTAAAAAAAAACAAACTGAGAGATGTTATGTTAATTCTTGGATCAACACAATCATGAGAAAATGACATTATATAAAGTTAGAAAATAAGAGTTGAAATAAAAGAACAAAGAATGGCACCTGAAATTGAAATGATAACCTGTAGAAAAGTGGAGATTATAACTATGCCCGCAACAATGTTTTAAAGTGTTATTAGTAGTTATTGAACATCCTCAAATGTCTTTTTGAACATCCTGATACACTAAACTAACTAGATGACTGCACATTCCATTTAGAGTATGAGCGTCCATCACTTTCATAGTAAAGAATGAAGCATATTTGCTGAAAATGAAATGCAGAGAATGAAAAAAAAAGTCACTTCATTTTTTGGAGGGGAAACATTTCATGCTTTCACGACCCAAATCTGTAACTTTTCATATTTGCTAACACAATCGGATCTTTCTTATCTTAATTTATGAGACAGGCCTGGTTTTATTGAATGTGTAATCTCATTTTCTTCCCAATAGACTTCTTCTCTTGAAGCAATTATGAATAAATATGTTTCAAAACTGTCTTTCCAGGA